AGCGGGGAGCCTGCTTCTCCCTCTCCCACCCCCTGCTTGTGTTCCCTCTCTTGCTGTGTCTCTGTCAAATAAATAAATAAAATCTAAAAAAAAATATCTGACCTAGTCATTCGTGGTTGGAGGTAGAGGTGGTTCCTAGGGTCTTGTCCCCTGGATTCTTCCAGCCTTGTGTCTGTGCTAAAGAAGCTACCACCAGGAGCCTGGGCCTTTCTGTCCTTGAGCCACTCTGGGCTCACTCTTCTCTGCCTGCTGACTCAGTGTCTGCCCACGCACTCAGAAAGCATGGAGGTGCCAAGCCCCTACTGTGTGCTGACCCTGAGCAAGTCACTGGGAATTGAAGGGTGAGAAAGGAAGGCTAGGGTGAGGTAGGTGAGGCCTGTGGCAGAGACTGGGGCAATCCGGGAAGCAGATTTGCAGGGGCCAATTTACAGGGCTGAGAAATCCTAGGGGGGTTTTGGGGGAGACTCTAGAAACAGTCTGCGGTGACTGGGGTCCAAGATGGGAGACGTGGTGACACGGCACGAGGCCAAGGTTGGCAAGAAGCAAGAGAACAGGAAAAGCCTCGTCCCCCAGGACTGCGAGCCTGACTTTACCTTGTAGGGGATGGGGGACCTCTGAAGGGTTTAAAGCATGGCTGTGACATTGTCAGGTTTGGCTTTGAAATAGTTCCCCTGGCTTTTCTCATATGTCCCCTAATTTCTACATCTTTTGACTCTAAAGCGACATGTGATTATTTTTTTTTAAAGATTTTATTTATTTATTTATTTGACAGAGAGAGACACAGCGAGAGAGGGAACACAAGCAGGGGGAGTGGGAGAGGGAGAACAGGCTTCCTGCAGAGCAGGGAGCCCGATGCGGGGCTCGATCCCAGGACCCTGGGATCATGACTGAGCGGAAGGCAGACGCTTAACGACTGAGCCACCCAGGCGCCCCTCGACATGTGATTATTGTGGTGAACTCTGAAAAGAGGAAATGTTTGTGGGCTGACATTTACACATTCCCCGTGGGCCTGAGGCAGGTCGGTCTGCGGGTGACAGTTACGGCTCTTTCTCTACCGGCGTCCTTGCTCATGCTTGGTCTTTTCACGGGTAAGTCTATCCCTGCTGCTACCTCCCAGGCACCTCTACCTGCCTGCACGTTTCTGGGAGCCAGGCCTGTGCGTGCGTGTGCGTGTGTGCGTTGCACGTGCTACCATCTCAGACCATGCAGGGCCATACTGTGTCCTTGTCACGCTCACATTTCTTCTGCTAATGAGTCACAGGGAGCCCTGGGCATCCCCACACAGGCTGATGGTGGAGGCATGAGATCGAGGACCTGCCCCATCTGCATCTTGCCGTTTCAATCATGATCCTCTAAGGTCTCTTTGCCGCTCCTCCCTCTCCCGCCAGCCCCCGGGAGTGATCTTTCATCCTGAATTGGGCTTTCTGTGTCCCATAAATGACCTCAGTAGGCGATTGCACTTAGCAGCTGTTTCTGTCCCTCTAGATTCTTACTGCTTGCTCCTGTCCCCGACGACCTGAGCGGTGGCAAGAGACAGGCTTGGGAACCGGAGTCAGGGGAACGAAGGGTTTGAGAAATCTGCGTGAGGGGCCGGGCTCTGATCTTGCTCTCTAGAGTTTCAAGCTTTCGCTTTCATTCTCCTTCAGGGGAAAACCGGCATGTGTGATTACGAAGATCACCTGCCTCAGGACTGTCCCCTTGGGGGTCCCCTAAGCCTGCTGATGAATCCCTTGGTACATTTAAAACTTGGCAGTGAAGGGAAGGAAAAATTCTTCTCCACCCTCAAGGTCTCCTACCTGAACTAAGAACTAAATTTATGTGACACAGATGAACAGGAGAAAAAAACCCCAAAGTTTTACAGCGTGTGCATGGAAGCCCAATAATGAAATTGAGACCTAAAAAAATGACCAAGGAAGCAGTTTTTGTACTTTTTAAACAAAGAGACAATAAATCTGTGAGGAATTGACAGGACAAAGAAAACTTAACTTTGGGAGCTTCAATTAGGAGGGAGTTCTAAACAGACTTTGGGCTGGGGGAGTGAATTAGTTTAAAAAAAAAGGTAACAAGGGTTGTTTGTAAGTGTTCTCGGCTCTAAATTTCCCACCTCTGGTGAACAGGGTACTCTTTACCTCCTGGTCCAGCCAGGCTGCCTTTCACACGGGAGATTTGTTTCCTGCTTTCAGGGGACAGACGAGGGTCTGAGTGCCCTTGTGCTCACTGGCTCTTAAGTAACTTATTTAAATAATCAATATGCCCAAGTGGCCCATCTTGGGGTGGCCTGCCCTTGGCCCCTATCACAGTTTATAAAGAACCTTTACTTAAGTTAAAAAAAAAAACACAAAAAACCTCTGATCCCTGCATCAGACTTGTGATATAGATAAGGCAGACAGGATTACACACATTTTATGGATGATGGACGGAGGCTCAGGGAGATTAGGTGACATCTTCTGGTGCATGGCTGGTAATCCGCCTGGCCGGCTGTGGGAACGCAGCGGCACCATGGAAACTCAGAGAACAGTGTCCTCGGCCAAGGCGGCAGAACTGGTGTGGAGATTCCGGCAGGGTCCCCCTCACCCCCACTTTCCTTCCCCGCACAGAACAAGCTCATCTGCGAGCTTGTCTCTCCCCATGGCGTCCAGGCCAGGCCCTCGGTGGTCCCTGCCCACAGGGGCATCTCCCGGGCATATGGCCAAATAAAGGGTAAGACAGGTCCTGCCTTAAAAAATGTTCACAGTTCTTCAGTTCAGTTCTGGAAACATCTACTGGGGCTCTTGTGTGCCAGGTCATGTGCTGGGTGTGTGGTGGGAAGGGGGGTCAGCAGGTCCCGGGGAGGAATTAAATCCGATGAAAGCCCGTTGCCGGCCGCACAGCGTCGCTAACAGAGGACCAGCTTTGGGGTCTGGTGAACTTGGATCTTCACGTGGACTCTGCTGCTTCCGAGCTGGTGACTTTGGGCAAGTTTCTTAAGCTCTTCGTGTCTCATGATCTTTATCTTTTAAGTGGGAAGAAGAACACCCACCTTACAAGTTTGCTGGGAAGTTAGACAGGATGATGTGTTTACCCTACTTGGCGCGGTGTCTGGCATTTGGGATTCGTGTCCTGACCAGATCCCTCTGTGTCTCCCCTCACTTGAATCCAGAATCAGGATTCGGACCACAAAGTTCCACACACGTCCACGGCAGCTAACCCTGAGGCTAACGCACCGGCCTGCCCTCCTCACTCAGATATTAATTCCCTTCCATCTTCTCCCCTTCGTGAGCTTGTGAGCCATGCGGAAAGACACGCACACAGCATCTGTATGAATCGGGGTGAAGTAAATGCTTGAAACCAAATAAGCACAAGCTGGAGGAAACCGGGGTGGGGGGGGGCTTGGCTGGACCAGGAGCAGGGAGCCCAGCGTGGGAGCAGCGCTTGATTTAGCCTGATGAGCTACTGCGTTGGAGGGTGCAGGGAGGGGCCACGCGGTTCAGTTGCGGTGGGGTCCTCCAGCTGGATTTCAGGCCCTGGGCCCAGTGTGGGGTGAGGAGCGTGCAGCTGAGGTCAACACCTTCCTTCGGCACGCACGATCCTCCGGGTGGAGCCAAGGTAGCTCCACAGAGGAAGTGGACGCCAGGCTCTCGAGTGCATTCTGTGGTGGGTGCACAGGACGCCGGCCTGCCCCCACCCAGCTTGGGGTGCCTGCTCCCACAGGACAGCAACCCCTCTCCCACCCCTCGTCCCCACAGCTACTGTCACAGGACTTCTCGGGTCAACTTTTGACCAAGAGACTCACCACCTGGCCTGCAAACTGTGATGCGGCTGGCGCTTCTGCATCCCACTCTGAATCAGGACGCAGATCCTTCCCTGAGCCAGGCAGCCTTTTCTTTCTAAACCGCCGTGCGGCACACCTGGGTCAGTTTCAGACTTTCTGTTTCCTGGGACGGCGTGGTCAGTGTTGCTAATAGACTCCAACGGTCACGCTCTTGAGCCCTGGTCTTTCTGCATTTCTCGACCAGGGTGCTGGCTAGTTTTGGTGAGGATGCAAACAAGGTGCAGTCACCAAGTTGTCCCGGCGCCATCAAGAATCTTTAATAACACCAACAGTGAGGAACTTACTTGCATTATCTCATTTAACCCTCACAAAATCCTGGAAGATGGCACTCCCTGCTTCACAGGTGAGAAAAGCCAGGACTCAGAGAGCATAAGTCACCTCCCAAGGTCACACAGCTGGTACCTAGCAAGGGTTTGAACTCGGGCAGTGTGACTGGTGCCCTGGTGCTTATGCTCTTCTCCCAAGTAGCCTGGTACTGAATGACTGTCCCCTGACTACCCTTCAACTTGCTTGGCCAGTCCAGCACTAGCCTTCCTTCTAGAAAGATGTTCCCAGAACCCAGGCGGAGCCTCAGAGCTGGCTTTTGTTCAGCCGTGTCTGAACAAGCAATTATGGGGGATGCTACAAGGTGGTTTCTGCTGCGGTGGGGCTGGGCTAAGTGAGTTCTGATCCTATTGCCTGGATCAGCAAGAGGGTGGCTCAGAGTAACAGCAGAGATTGTCCCCCCAGGCACCTCCCAAGAATTTTCCTTTCTCTCCATTCCACTCAGCATCTGCAACCCTAGCACAGCATCTGTTAATTATTGTATTATATGTGAATTAGTTAATGTAAATGCTGAAGAAGACACTTTGGCATAAAGGGAAGGGGCTGACTTGTGTTCCTGTTCTACCACCAACTAGCTATGTGGTGTGGAGCAAGCCACCTAATTTCTTTGGGTCTCTGTTTTCTCATCTATAAAATGGGAATAATAATTACTTACCTGAACTCTCTCAGGCCTATTGTGAGCCTCTGGCTTAGTCAGGCTGCCCCTGAGTCTTCCGATCTGTGTCTCTGCAAGGACAGGTGTTTCCGGAGAGGACCCAGACCTTGTGATGGTAACTGGGACCCTAGGGGGTCTGTCACTCTGCCCCTGCAGCTACAGGCTGGAAAGCCGGTGGAGAGCATCTCTTGGATATCCCGTTCCGTCTCCATGCCCATAGCCATTGTAACCTTGGCAGAAGCAGGAGGGCCAGACACCTTTTATGAGGCGGAGACCAGGTACCGGGGTCATGTGAGTGTGGTGGGCCCAGGCCACTCCCTGCAGACCAGCAACCTAAGCTGGAAGGATGCGGGGCCTTACCGAGCCCACATGAACCTGAGGAGCTCCCGCATCACCCGCACTCGGGAGTACCAGCTGCAATTCTATGGTGAGTGTCCTGCGGGTGGGCAGCAATGGGTGTGGGGCGGTGCCCATCTTTCAGGCTTTCTCACAGCCTTTCCCACATCTCGTTTAGTAACACTTACACTTTTTCTGATTACAAGGCTAATATGTGCTCAGTATAAAAAAAACCCACAACAAACCGTGTAAAGCAGAGTTGCCTGGGAAAGTCTCCTGAACAACGGCAAGGCCCAGGACGTGCCCCAGGCCAATGGCAGCAGAACCCCCGGGTGTGTAGTGGGCAGAGAATGGGGACTTCAGCCCCAAGAACTCAGTCGTGCCACTTGAGTGCTCTTGAGCTACCTCGATGCTAAAATAGGAACACTCCCATCTGGTGAGAATAAACTCCTGAGAAAGAGCATTGGGACACTCTGGACAGAGGTACAGGAGTGTACAGGAATATTGCTTGAAGATACTTAAAAATTGTTTCAGGAGGGAAAACTGCAAGGGAGACAGAGAGGCTCGTGGCAGCTACCCCAGCAGCAAGGAGGGCGGGCTGATTCAGCCAGGAGAGATACAATAAGCCGATTGTAGATTCAGACCGCTTATTACTCATATAGAGTGTGAAAGAGTAACCCAGGTCCCTCACACCAGAAAGAATGACAAAAGGGGCCAGTTGACCACAATGCAGGTGCTGGAAAGCCTGTAGCCAGAGAAGCGGTTCTAGACTGCTGTGAGGGGGCAGGGTCTGCAGCTCTGCTCTGAGCAGGGGGAGCAGGAAGCTCCTTCCTCATGAGACACTGACTCACCAGTGCCTCCCAGGGGAGAAAGTGAGGTCAGCGGAGATGGTTTCAGGGTTTCACGGGCCACCATCCTCTGGGGTTCTGGGAGGATCTCAGGGCACTTTGCCAAGACTCAGATCAGCTTTGCCTGAGGGACCTGAGGGACCTGGCCGAGGTGCTCCCCCACACTGGGAAGCAAAAAGGTACAGTTATGCGTGAGGATGAACACGGGGAAGCGAACTGATGGAGGGAAAGCAGAGAAGCTTTTCAGGCTTGAGTCATGTTATAGGAAATATTCCTATTTGATGAGGCTTTTTTTTTTTTTTTTTTTTTAGTGTGGGGAGATGGACTTGCTTCCTGGGGAGAGAGCGTCTACGCCATACATCACGCCTGGCCTGGCCATGGCCTGTTCGCAGACAGCTTGAGGGCACACCGGGGCTTCTGGGACCTCGGTGGGACTGTTCCCTAGGGTGGTCCAGGGCTGCGGGGAGAGCCCCTCTCACTCTGCTCCAGTGGAGCGGCTACAGCCTTTTGTCCTTCTCAGGGAGTTCCCCAAGTCACTGGAGCCTCACAGCAGCAGGCAGCAGAGGGGTTTTTCTTGCTGGGCTGCTGAAACTAGTCTCAGAGAGAAGCAACACAGAGGTAGAAAGTGGCAGAGCCGGGAATAGAACTCAGGCACCTCGATGCCACATCCTGTGTGTCTGGTTTGTCACTGCATTTACGGGCTTGAGCTAGAGAGGATGCTGAGGGGAAAAGGGCCTGCAGAAGGCGTCATGCGGGAGGGTTTGGGTTCCAGAAGACCACACCGGGGGAGGCAGCAGAAAGTTACCCAGCCTGCCTTCCCCCCGGGGGACATTCTGGGCCGTGGGGTCCTATTTTTGCCCAGTTGAGCTGCCGCTGGGGCTGCTGTCAGGTGGGCCCCAGGGCTGAGGCCGAATAACAGAGGTCTTCTCTCACACCCTGTGGCTTTGTTGAGCCTGTCCTGACTATCCACTCCCTTAGCTTCTCTTCCCGCCACTCCCCAACCCCCTGGCTCTGGCCTGGGGAGACAGGAGGGCAAATAATGGTGACGTGGAAACCTTAAGGAAGCATCTGAGCTCCTGGTCCTGGGGGAAGTGGGGGTGGGGTGCAGGTTGAAGGGAGTACATGGGAGTGGAAGAACCCTCAAAGACCAAGGGCCAAATCTTCTGGGAGCCTTGTCCAGCATCCGGAAGCTCGGACATCCGGAAGCTCGATGTGTACGGCAGAGACCCCTCCTGGAGAGAGATGTAATTACAACACAGTTCTGTGCCGGTGCGCCTACACGGCCTTCACGTGGTCAGTGCTGGGGTGGGAACCCAGGCTTTGGGGTCAGATCCACTGGGTTTGGGTCTTACATGGAATCGTCATGTAATAGCCGAGGTTCTGGGCAAGTTACTTGAAGCTCTCCGAGCCTGTTAAACAGAGTAGGTGCAAAACCTCTGCTACCTACTTCATAGGGTGGTTCTGGGAATCAAATGATGCTACGCGGCAGGGCCTCGTAAAGCCCGAAGCTCTCGAATAGCTGTGGGCAGATTCTGCCTCTGTTTCTCCTTGTGTGTACTCAGGATGATTCAGGGTCTTGGCACCAATGCCTTGTGCCTTCTGCCCTGTGAAGGGAGGGCCCAGGGCAGTTCTGCAGTCCTCGGTTGGTTCATTTTGTGCCCACAGAGCAGCTGGCCCGGCCCCGTGTCACACTGAGCTCCAGGATCGGTGAGAGTGGACACTGTATCTTCATCCTGACATGTGAGGCCGAAAGCAGAGGAGGCTCTGTGACCTACAGCTGGCTACCTCTGGGACCCCGGACTGTTGTGTCCCGTGGAGGGTCTGTCCTCAGTGTCTCCTCAAGGCTCAGGGACAGGGCTCTGACCTTCACCTGCGTGGTCAAGAACCCAGTCAGTAACAGCAGCTCCCTCCCCGTCTCAGTGCCGTCCTCGTGTCCAGGTACCCGGAACCTGAGCACGCACCGTGCACTTCGGCTCTGAAGTGGGCAGAGGTGGAGGGCAGGGTCCCCTTCACGCCCCGGGGAGAACACCCCTGAGAGAGTGGCGTGGGCGGCTGGGGGCAGTGCAATCAGGGGAGGGGCGGATGCTTTCAGGAGCCAGTGTGGAGGCTGGAGGGGTTTGGGCAGGAGGAGCTCGATGGGGCCTGCGTGGCCCTGAGTGTGTAGGGGAGACCCTGGCGCTGAAGCTGTTGTTTTCTGTCTGTCTGTAGGGCCAGGAATCCTGGGAGGGGACACGGTGGGGGAGACAGTGACCGGTCTCCTCGGGGACTTGGCCATTCTGCCCCTGGAGGTCCCGGTTGGGCAGGAAGTGGAAAAGGTCACCTGGAGCTCTGGAGAGCTTGTTGCCATTATGCAAGCGGGGCCAGGAGGCCAACGGGTCCTGGCTGCCGGGAGTCAGGCACCATACAGCAGACGGTGGAGTGCCCTCCACCGCGGCTACTCTCTTCAGATCAGGCCCCTGAGGCTGCAGGACTCTGGCCTCTACAGAGCCTGGATCACCCTGCCTGCAGAGTCCCCGGATCAACATCACCAAGGATTTCACCCTGCGCGTTTACGGTGAGGGAGGGGGTGGAAGGCTCATGTTTGAACTTTGACCTTTCCTCTCTCCCCTGCTTGGTCAGACCAGAGTCTTCTCAGAGCTCGAACTTTCCTTTCTTGCACAGAGAAGCTGCAGGAGCCCAATATCACTGTCAGCTCCCAGATCACGAAGGATGGGGCCTGTTACATCACCCTGATCTGCTCCCTGTGACAGGCCGGAGAGGATGTTCAGTACAGATGGGCACCCCTTGGCCAGGGGGCAGTTATGTCCCATGGGGGAACCACTCTCCGTGTCTCCTGGAGACTCGGGGTCAGCGACAGCTATCGCTGCACGGCTAGCAGCCCGGTCAGCCAGAGCTCCAGCTCCATCCCCACCAGGCCCCTCTGCCCAGGTGACCCCTTCCTTGTGTGGGCCCCCACCCTGGCAGCCTTGGTCCAGGAGCTCAGCATCCCCACCTGCCACCCTCCTTGTTCTGGGGTGGTGGAAGAAAAAGAGGGCAGGATCGTCTGCAGCAGGGGGTGTCTCTGGGGGGCAGGAAATGAGGGCTCTGGGGCCATCCTCCCAGGGCCGCGCTGTCCAGCTTCCGACGGTCAGCCCCAGACTTGGTGCCTGGGCGCTCGGCTTACTCTTGGGACTCCCGGAGGGAAAGTGCGTCCCTCAGCCCACTCAGTCCTGCAGAGCCCACTGAGGAGGCATCCCAGACGTCCTTGGCCATGTCCTCAGCGAAGCCTGGAGCTGCCGTGAGACAGAAATCCCAGGCTGTGCCCCTCCAGCGTCACGGGCGGCCTCTCCCGGGTTCCATAGGCCGTGGCAGGACACTGCCTCAGTCCAGACTCACTGTGTCCCTTTCTTCTTCTCTGCCAACTTCTGAACATCTCTCCTCTCCCAACCAACCAAGGTAAGGTTGGTTCCTTACCAACCACTTGCTCTTCGACCCTGTGTGGTTGCTCTGCCCCCAGCAGCCACATCCTCATTGCTAAGTCCAGGGGCTACTCCTCACTTGAGTTGTCCTCAGCCTGCTCTCCTTGGGGTCCTGGGCTGCTGGGTCCCGGGGCGTCTTCTTTTGTATCACAGTCCTTAGGGGTCCTGCCCAGGCCTTCTGTTGCCCGGGGCAGAAAGCTGGGCGTCATTCAGAACCCTCGTTTTCCACTGCTACCTGCCCAGGTGCTCACACCTCCCGGTTATCCCACTCTCTCCCCTCCAGATCATCCTGCTGATCACGCTGCTAGGGGGTGAGTTCTGAAAGAAAGAAATGCTCGGGTTACTTTTCTGCTTAAAATCTTGTGGTGTCTGCCCGCTATCAAGCATATAAATATGTGATCCCCTCTTCATTCATTTAAGCAACTCCTGTTTACAGAGCATTTATTATTATTATTGTTATTTTAATTGAACTATACTTAACATATAATATTAGTTCCAGGTGTATAACATAGTGATTCAACATTTATATACATCACGAAATGCTCACCACGATACGTGCAGTCACTATCTGTCTCATGCATAGTTATTACAATATCATTGACTGTATTTCCTATGCTGTACTTTTCATCCCCATGGCTTATTTATTTCATTCCTTGAAAGAGCACTTTATAACCTTACAGAGAGAGCGCATGCCTGTGTGCAAGTGGGGGGTGGGAGGAGCAGAGAGAGAGGGAGAGAAAATCTTAAGCAGGCTCCACGATCAGTGTGGAGCCCAGTGTAGGGCTTGATCCCCTGACCCTGAGATCATGACCTGAGCCAAAATCAAGAGTCAGATGCTTAACTGACTGAACCACCCAGGCACCCCTTACAGAGCATTTTTTTTTAAAGATTTTATTTATTTGTCAGAGAGAGAGAGAGAGAGAGCGCACAGGTGGGGGAAAGGGGGAGAGGGAGAAGCAGACTCCCCATTGAGCAGGGAGCCCGATGTGGGGCTTGATCCTGGGATCATGACCTGAGCTCAAGGCAGACGCTTAACTGACTGAGCCACCCAGGTGCCCCCAGAGCATTTTTAAAAGAAGATTTTATTTGTAAGTCATCTCTATGCCCAACGTGGCACTTGAACCCACAACCCTGAGATCAAGAGTTGCATGTTCCACCAACTGAGGCAGCCAGGTGCCCCCAGAGCATTTTTAAGGTGCCTTGTGTTGTTCTAGGCATTGAGGATAGAGTGAAGAAGAGGTCTGGATAAATTGCCACCCCTCAGGGAGCTCAGTCACGATTGTCACAATCTGCAGCTAAGCCTACTAAATGATTAGAGGGGGTACTGAGCATGTTGTATTAGGGCCTTCATCTGTGTCTGTCTTACCCATGGAACGAGACCAAAGCCCATTTTCGTCTTCTCGGCATCTCCACTACACAGCATGGATTAGGCATGAAAATTGTGAATCTGACAGTTATTCCAGGAACAGCCTGTGCTGGGGGTAACAGGGCACAAGGAAACATGGTAATTGGCTGTGCACACTAATGTTCTCCCTGCCCCTCCATGGGATCCAGAGGGCAGTTCACCTCTACCTCCAGATTCAGTTTCCTTAAGGGGCCTCTAGCCCACTCACTCTTCTGAATTCTCTTCTTGGAAATCCCTTCCCCTGCCTGCCTGTCTTCCCTTTCTTCTCTTCCCCGCCTTTTACCCCAGTTCCTAACCTGTGGTCATTGTTTCATTCAGCCTCCTTCCTACCCTGCTCCTTGAAGAAAGAATTTCTTATTTTTTTGATCCTGGGAGCTTTGCAGATTGAACAGAATGACTTTGACAAGTGGAGAAGCCAAGAGGAGGAATGTGAGAGGGGTCACCTTGTGGGACACAGAGATGAAGAATTCTGTACCTGGGCACCACCTGCCAACATCTCCTGGTGAGAAAGGGACGTCAATCCCTATTAAGGCATAAAACCTATTTTGGCGTGAGCCAAGCTACTCATGCTGTTTGACAAAGTCCAAGTATGGGGGACGATCCTGAAAACAGGAGACTCCACAACTGGCTCCTGCTATTCTCTTTCATTTTGTTTATGGCAATCTTTATAATTGTGGGAATATTTCTGGGGTTTCATGATAAAGTGACTACTCATCTTAGTTACGCCTATCTAAGCAATCATAATGAAACTAATTCCACGAAGAATTAGTTTCTATAGAACAAAATAACAAGACGGTCACGCTCTGTCTATCACCTTTCTCTTTGCGTACTGTTTTTTAGCTTTAGTGAAAGCCAATAAGCGGAAATCGATAAAGGTCATATTAATCATTACAAAGGAAAAATGAAAGAAGGCTATGTCTGTGATCCAAAAAATGATCTAAGATTATCTCAATCAATTGTAAAAAAAACATAATC